AAGCGCCTCGGGTTTCCCCGCACCCAGACAGCCGCAGCTCACACCGCGCTCGCCGCTCTCATGCTAGCCCTCCACCAATGACCTTCTCCTCTTCCCCTTCCGCTCCACCTCGTCCTCCTCCTGACCTGATCAGACCCAACCTCCCGCACCGTACCGTCCCCGGTTTGTGCTTGCCTTCCTTAATGCCATCCTAGGTCAATGCCGTCCTCTGTCTGTGACTCGGGCGATCCTACATATACAGTAGATGACCATCTCTCAGAGCACCAAACCGACTCAGTGGGCAAGTCCAGGCCCCTTGGTCGATCAATCGACTCACTCGTCGCAATCTTGGACGAACCTGTCAAGGATGCTCGGTCGCATCCGTGTCTGCCCGTCACGCCGGCGCGGTCCAGTCAAGTCACTCACTGACTTACCCTGGCAGGGCAATCCCGCAGCGCCGACTGGACTTGCAGTCGTGCTTCGCAAGCTGTGAGGAGGGGGCTGATGGTGCCAGGAGCCGAGGCCCGACATGCTTCTTTCCCAGTCACGAAGGGGCTCTCCACCTTGTAGTTGTAGCCACCACCGCCTGCATCACTACCCCGTCCGGCTCCGTTCAGGCCCTCAATGCCAGATCTAGTCCGCATCAAGCTCCTACTCCCCATCCTGAGAGTCAATGTGAGAGCCGCAATCCGGTGGTGTTGCAGTCAGCCTGATCGTCCCCTGGGTTCTCCCGCCCCTCAATGCTTACAGCGAGGGCTTTCACCTTCCCACGACTGCAATGAGGCCCCCTTGCCACCACCACCACCACTGGCTCGAGTGCACCTCCATCCTGGCCCTCCTCCTGCCTGCTTGCCGTCATCGTTGCAGTCTGCCGTCGCGGCCTTGTAGCGCCCTGCCCAGAATCCAGCACATCGGCGAGATGGCGGAGTGGTCTAACGCGACAGACTAGAATGTGAGGTCTCAGGCATTCACAAGAGATCTGTTACCTTCGGGTGCGCAGGTTCGAATCCTGCTCTCGTCGTTATTTTTTAGCACGCTGACTGCACAGGCCTCCATTCAGCATGTACAGTACAGCTTCATGATGGCTATCACGGCCTTCACGCACATGATCATGAGCTCAACATGCCAGCTACAAGGTGATTGAGCGTGGTGTGCTTCACGGATCGCACCGCCGTCCTCGCCGAGCTTTAGCGTGGAGTACGCCGACCGACAGACGTCATTTCTTCCACCGCGGCTACTCTGCCTCGTAACATTTTCTCAAGGACTTGACCTAGCTACGTCCGCGCAGGATACCTCACCTTTGCCTAGACCGCAAGACCGGGTCCTACCCATCCTCCTCATTGACACGCACTCGCAATCGCAATCGCAATCCGAAGCACATCACCTGCTGCTGTCACCGACGACGCACGCGACGCACATACAGTACAGTACCAGCATCAGTCCAGCATAAGTGCACCCAGACGAGCCCACGAGCCGACGCGCAGTGACCAGCTCTGCTTCATTCCCGCGCTCCGCCCCGCCACCCATTCATCACGACGCCACCGATAGGCCGACGGTTGACAGACACCCTCCGTCCAGGACAGGCCAGGACAGGCCAGCCGAGGGCCACGACACACCACACCCACCATGTCAGCGCAGAAGCGCCCTGCGCAGGAGCCGTACGCGAGCTCGCAGCTCGTCAAGCGGGCGCGGGACCAGGGTGATGCGGCCGCAGCCACAGCGGCAGGGACGGCAGGGACGGCGGTGGCCGTGGTCAACACCGCGTCGCAGAATGGCGCGCTCATACAGGCTGTGCGTGGACTTCTTCGCGTCGAAGTGCTTGTCTTGTGATGGCGCCATGGGTGTATGGCTGACGGCTGGCTGGCTGAGGCAGCAGATCCCCCGGACGAGCGGGCTGGAGGCCCCCATCATGGAGTTGACAGGTGCGTTCTCACATGGAGGCGGTCATGGTATCGGCCGGAAATGAAACTGACGCGCGAGGGTGACCCCTGCAGGCCACACGGGAGAAGTGTTTGCGACGCGATTCGACCCGACGCGCCCGCGCAATGAACTCCGTCAAGACGGCGCTCGCGACTGCAGCAGCACGCCCGCTCGCAGCGTGCTGGCGAGGCAGTGGCCTGTTCTCGCTGACTGCTGCCGCCCGACGCAGGCACAGCTCGGCCGCGGCGGCTGGCGATGCGCCCGCGGAGGAGGTGGAGGAGGAGGCCGGGAGGCTGCCGCTGAAGGGGCTGCGAGTGCTGGACATGTCGAGGGTGCTGGCAGGCGTGAGTTGCGTGGCCTGACCTGACCTGACCTGCAATTCCAGTGCGACACTGACGGCCCTCGCAGCCATACTGCGCGCAGATCCTGGGGGATCTGGGGTGAGAGATGCGCTCCCGCCCAACCACGAGCACGGCGTCCTGACAGCCCGACCGCCAGCATCCAGCGCCGAAGTCATCAAGGTCGAGCACCCCACGCGCGGCGATGACACGCGGGCGTTCGGTCCGCCGTACGCGCCGTACAAGAATGGCAGGCAGGGGCCGGGGGAGAGCGCCTACTACCTCGCGGTGAGTCGGCCGCTGCTCTCACGGCTGACACGCGTGCGGCTCGCCAGCTAAAGCAGTCCTCCTCACACCCCCGGCACGCAATGGCAGGCGAACCGCAACAAGAAGTCGATCGGGGTGAACTTCGCGCACGCCTCCGGCGCGGCGGTGGTGCGCCGCCTGGCCGAGCGCTCGGACGTGCTGATTGAGAACTACGTGCCCGGCACGCTGGCCCGATACGGCCTGGACTACGCGGCGGTGGCCGCGCGGAACCCGCGGCTGGTCTACGCCAGCATCACGGGGTACGGGCAGACGGGCCCGTACCGGTCGCGGGCCGGCTACGACGTGATGGTGGAGGCGGAGATGGGGCTGATGCACGTCACGGGCCCGCGGGGCGGCGCGCCGGTCAAGGTCGGCGTGGCGGTGACGGATCTGGCGACGGGCCTGCACTGCAGCACGGCGGTGCTGGCGGCGGTGCTGGCGCGGCGCGCGACCGGCCGCGGGCAGCACCTCGACGTCGCCCTGAGCGACTGCCAGGTCAGCCTGCTGACAAACCTGGCGAGCTCCGCGCTGGTCTCGGGCCGCCCGGACGCCGGCCGCTGGGGCACCGAGCACCCGTCCATCGTGCCGTACCGCAGCTACGCGACCGCCGACGGCGACCTGCTCGTCGGCGGCGCGAACGACAAGAACTTCGGCGTGCTGTGCGAGCGGCTGGGGCATGCGGAGTGGAAGGACGACGCGCGGTTCGCCACCAACGCGCTGCGCGTGCAGCACCGCGACGTGCTCGACGGGCTGATCGGCGACGTGATGCGGCAGAGGACGACGCGGGAGTGGCTGGCCGTGCTGGACGGGTGCGGCATGCCGTACGCCGCGATCAATGATATCCAGGGGACCCTGAACCATCCGCACGGTGCGTCTGCCGTTATGTCACTCGCGTGCCGTGCCGTGCTGCACTGGCTAACCAGCACGTCACATCCCCGCCATCCGTCCAGTCCTCGCCCGCGGCATGGTGACCGAGGTGGAGCACCCGGACTGCGGCACGCTGAAGATGGTCAACACGCCCGTCAAGTACTCGCACGCGCGGCCGGGGATCCGCAGCGCGCCCCCGACGCTGGGACAGCACACCGACGAGGTGCTCGGCGGGCTGCTGCAGTATGGTGCGGCGGAGATCAGGGCGCTGAGGGAGGAGGGGGTGGTCGCGTAGCCGTGGCACTGCCGCACGAGCAGACGGCGGATTGCAGTGGCATGGCCTGCCTCGGCCTGTCCGCGTCGCTGGGATGGCATCCAGCTGCTCATACGGTGTGCTGGAGTGCCGCGTTGCGCGTGACACTCGAGGCAGGGCAGAGATGGGACCCCTGCAAAAGACCTCCTTGTGCTGTGAAGATCTTGCTTTCTTGTCCGTCCAGCATGAGTGCTACATGCTGGTTGTTGGTGAAGCTGGCTACCCATTTGACAACTGCTTTCCACCACCCTTGCTCAGCTAGACTTCAACATAGTCAACCTGGAAACATAGCATCTTAGGAGGTATCTTGGGCATCTTCAGTGTTTAGAGTTAATGATGAACTGTTCATATCAAGTCTCCAGCCCTGCTCTATACCACATACAATGCAACCGGTTGCATCCACTGCAAACCGTCTTCGCAGTATGCCAAATGGTCACTGACTTGATCTTTTGTGATTCAGCTCAATGTAGCTACAACAGCAAGCCGTTAAGCATTTTAATCCTCCAATTCAGTACAAAAAGCAGCAACATCAAACTATTAAGCTTTGGCAACAATTGGTCATGGTCTTTTGGCCTGATTAGAGTCATCACTCTAACTTGTTTGAAAGCCGCAAAGCAATGATCTAGATTAAAACATTGCTGAGAAAGGCCATAAACCCATTCACAGATCAGATAAGCCTTTGGCTACAGCTGGGTCTCAACATGTTATAATTGAGCAATCCAACCATGGTGCCCCAAACCAGTTGTATGCAGTCTAGGAACCTCTATGGAGAATGCAGCTCAACAAGAGGAGGTGACTTCAGAACTGAAGCAACCACAAGTCAATAGTAGCACGACTTCACCCTCGATGTCGAGTTGTACTGCAGTGGCACCGCAAGCCTGCGGCGTCCTGCAATTGCAAGGTTGACAGTCCCTTGGGCGCCCGGCCGGCACGGAGATGACACCGAGTTCCCAGCAGCAGCCACAGCGCGCGCCGAGCACGATCCAATAAGCGCCTGTGATGAGCCTGTGCACCTGTGCACCGGCGGCGCACCTGGGTTCGTCCTCCCCAGTCACAGCACAGCCAAGTACGTGCCTCGTAGCCTGGTGGCAGCCGCTTGCTTCACTTCAACGGAGGAGAGGAGCGATGGCCGCCGTTTCTGCACAGGAGGCGACCGAGGCGACAGGAATCGAGCTGCTGAGCGGTACCTACCAACGCTAGCCACGGTCTGGGGCCCGACGAAACATGCCCCAATCTGCCTCCGCAAAACCATTCGGCTCGTGGAGGCGCAAGTTTCGATTCGAGAAGGACCTGCTCGAGGCCAGGCAGTCCGTTGCTGACAGAACAGCCACGCCAGGTCCCCCGCTGCTCAGCTTGGCAGACGTTGAGACGCGACTGAACATGCATCAATACAGCGGCTTGTTCGACACCGACGGTAACATGCCCAGTGCGATCACCAGCGACTCTCTGAGCGAGACACTCAGGGTCCCGTCTGGTTGGTACACCCCTGACACGCCTCGTGGGTGGTGATGGCGCTACGCTGCTCGCTCTGACACCAGCCTTGTGTGCGCGCCCTCAGGTACACTCGATCGACCGGAAACATCCAATTCGCGCAGCAGTAGCCACGAGTGGAACGTCGTCGGCCATGCCAGTACCGCCAAGACTGGGCGCGTGATTCACCACCTACAGGAAGAGATCGCCCGACTCACACGCGAATGTAAGCTGCAGCGACTCCGGGCGGAGGAGGAGCAGCAGACCAACGATACGCTCAAGCTCCAGTTATCGCACGTCACGGACCGCCTCAACAATGCCGAGCAGCTGCACGAAGCCGACGTCTTGTCCATCACGAGGAAGGACCGCAAGATCGAGGAGTTGAAGGCTGAGATCGAGAAGGAGCGTGCCAAACGGATCAAGTCTGAGGAGGATGCCAAGCGGACGAACCAGATCGCTGCGGAGGCCAAGGACTTGCACACGCGGACAATCGCGGAGGCGCAGGAAACTGCGTCGCAGTCCAAAACACAGTACGAAGCCATTGCGAAGGCGCACACCCGCACGCTAGCCGAGACGCAGATGCGCATCAGTCGCTTTCGACAAGAGGTTGCGGAGATCGGCAATCGGGAGGCCAACAGGCAAAAGCAGTTGGCGCGTCTTGAAGCCATCATAGCCCAGAAGGACAAGGAGCTTGCAGCTGGGGAGGCGCGCATGCAGCAGTTCATCGCATCCCTCGAAACATACAAGTCAGAAAGCGAGAATGCAGTCGGACAGCTGGCAGCACGAGCGCAGAGAAACGACGAGGAA